GGTATAACACAATAGTATAGCTGGGAATTTATAAACCAATATAAGTTGCATGGCTGTTTAAGCTCAATAGAAGATTTTATAGAGTGTATTGTTATTTTTACACCCAATCAAAACAATCAAAATAATCCTTATAATTTACCAACATCAAAGAGATTCTATTTTTTTAAATGTATACAATATACATACATAATATTTTATTAATTATTAAAATTCGATTGAAATTAAATAAATGATAAAACAATAACAAGCAATAAAATTATTTTTGTATAACGTGTGTGAATGACAAATCAAATTAATTTAATTATTTTGCGTTAATTCGTCGGCTTCTTTCTGGTATGCCTGGTTGATCGCCCCATGCATTTCCGCTATAGTGCCCATTAATTCAGGAGGCATATATTGAAATGTATTAGAAAATGCTGCATTCAGAACYTTAACTCCCACGTCTGTAAATAACTTGTTTATGGTGAATATCTTWCAAAATACCTATTTTATGATTTTGTATGTATAATTAAAGTACAAGATAGTAGTTAACTAAGTTAAATTGTTTTTTATTCACGTTTCAATACAATATTCGTAAGACATAACTTATTATAGATAGGCTATATTTATTATTTATCTTTTTAAAACAATTATTGTTTTAATTAAATATAATATTACGTATCACAAATTACGTGGGATTGGGTACGTCAAATATAATTTTTAACGAAAAATCTAACCATAGATTTTTACTTAAAATAAAAATTAGAATTAATGTTTWGTTATTTTAAATTAATGTCACAAATATTACAAGATCTCACTGAGAAAAACTCATGTGGAAAACCAGGGAAAATTAATCTTACATAAATACGAATTAATAATTATCTTATAAGTTATAAGGAAAACATAACATCGTTTATTGGCTACTTCAGTCTATGATATGTCTCTAACTTATCCGTAGGTACCTACTGTGACACTTTTATCAATAGAGAATTATAGAAATAAATAACATGCTTTGGATTATCAAATATAAACATTTCGTTAAGAAAKATAGGTTCACATCAGTTGACTTTGTGTTAATAGTTTCAGTCTAGATATCAATAYATTATTGTTATAATATCTATATATTTTAATAGTATCTACGTACTCTTATGTAATTCAATAAACGGTTTTCGATTTGATCGAAGAAGAGAAATTTATGAAAAACTACATATTATATAACTTATCAATTTACTCAATGCACAAGTTTAAAAAAAAAATAGGTAAAAACTTACGTTTAATTTCTTCGCCTTCTGGTGTACATTTTCCTGTTTCCATCAGACACTTGAAGTAGCTGCTGACCAAGCGGTCGTTGTTCAGGATGTCGTCGATATTAACGTTGTCGTATTTAGTAGTATATTTAGCTGGTGCTGTCTGGACCACGGTCATCGTGGTAGCGATGCAAAAAGCAACTGCCAACAGGAATTTGTTCATTTTGATATGTTAGGTACGACTTRGTGTGTTGTACTCAAAAGCGAATAAACCTCTTATGGCGTTCAGAAATGAATTGTAACTTTATATGGAACAGTTTTCCATTATATATAGCTACTACTACACAATGGCAAAGACATATCTACATATTATTTTACCATGACGTCACATACTACGGGGGCTCGTTAGTTAGCTAAACGAACCGAATCAAATACTTTTTGAAATTCCCCTCTACTGCTTACATGACACTGACTGGACATACATATACATATCAGAATATCAGACGCATTTTCTTTTCAATCTAATGTGTTAGTAAACATTTCCACCTTGGGAATTGTTTATTCCGGTCACACGTGGATAAATAAAGTATTAATCCTTAATAAACGCAACCTAGACTAATTCAGTAATTCATCTATGTACCCAACTACTAGGTTTTTTACTTCATGGACATAATCTAAGACATAATAATAATTTGATTCTTCGAGTATAGTATTCAATTAAACTAACTATAGTAAAAACGAACTAATGATAATAATACCCTGCAGTTATCAGTCCTAATGATTTTATAAAGACTACTTCTTACATATTTTCTTCTCCATTATCCTACTGTTTATTGCAATTTTATAGAAAATATTTAAACAATTTAACACCAGAATATTCAAAATAATAAATATATATTTAATTAAATATTTATACAATCTACGACACTGCAACAGTGCAACAGTGTATCGTTAGATTTAATGACATTTTTATTTCCTAAAAAAGTAATTTCCCATTGGTTGTCGAATTATTATAATATCGATACCTACACGATTAGTGAACATCTGTCCAATTTAGTTATTTAAACATGTAATAACAAGGCAATGGTTTYATTAATTATTAGGTACTTATTAGGTATTGTATTTTCTTCTGAATTTCCAAAAATATTGCTTTTCAGACTTAAAATTAGTTTTATACATCAAAGAACTCAAAAATTGAAACAATGTTTTCATTTTTTTTTTATATATATATATTTTAAGGATAATTTTTAAGGATGGATACAATATTAAATTTGTATTAAACAAATGTACCATATAAGATACCCCACTAAAAAAATATAAAATAAATTGTGTTATTTATTTTGTCGTAGATATTATTTTTATAACCCATAATTGTGTGAGACAAAAGTGGCAGCCACAAAACGGTTTCACAAACGAAATTTTCCCATGAGCGTATAGGCATGTCTTTATTAAACGAATATAATAATGTTTTATTTTTATTCTGATCAATTGTTATAATAATATTATATAACTTGGTAACTTATTATTTAAATTTAATATAAAATATTTAAACAGGATTATATTATACARTGACTGGGTAGCAGGTTAGACAACATAATATTGGTTATTGGCACTTATTTTACATTGTTTAACCTTGGCGCAGTTTAGTAGAATATACTTGTTAGGCATTTCAGTATTTTAAAGTAATGATATTTCATTGCACTTTAAAAACAGGATTTAAACTGAGAATAAACTGCTTTACCAGTTGCTTCAGCGTTATTAAGACACTTATGAATAATATGTTATTAATACGAATTAATGATTTATTACTTATTTGATTAGTTTTGATAAAAAATTGTCATTGCCRTATTTTTTWAAACTTTTTCTTCTACAACTTTCTTATTTTTACGCGATAAGATAGATTTGTAAGTCAGGTAGTATTTGTTTAACACCAGGGAATATAGAATCAATTTGTTTATTACCTACCTGTTGTATTATATTTCCGAACTGTGTAAACAATTGCCCATTTGTAGTATATTTGTTGCATAGGTATGACTTATAGTGGAATATCTTAGAAAGAGGGATTTAAGTGTTTAAGACTTCCACCCACCTATTGACATTTTAATAAATAACAATAAATTAAATCTCTAATAAATTTATTATTTATACACTAAAACTGTAAAACGTTAGTTTAATTTATACTTAACCTCCTCCACTTCTATTTCATAATTCTAGTTACGCAATCACTGACCACGTCCGTCATCAAATAACTTAGATTAAACATATTATCGTAATAAATGCAGTTGCCAGCTTCCGTCTCACTATCAGTATTCAAGTTGAGAATAGCAATTAATTAGCCATCAATCGTTTGTCAATAAATCGAAAGTCGTATGTTTTGAACGAAATTACTTCAATCTTTTAAATTTAGAACTGCAGCATAAAATATTTTTACGACAATTTAAATAAAACTATTATGGCTATTATTTATTAATATTACTATTACTTATATTAAAGTTTTTTTTTTTAATATTATTATTAATATTTATTAGCTTCCAATATCTAAAAGATTATACCTTAACCATTACAAAATATATAAATTTAAAAAAAACAAAGAGCATATTATAATAAATAAATGTCGTTGTGAATATTATGATGCCTAGAGTACAATCAAATGATTTATTACATTGAAACAAAATTAATAATCCAGAAATTCCGAAATAATTTGATACATTAATAACAATGGATCTTGAAAAGGAATTTAAAATAATTTTTTAGTCTACTGAAATTATAATATTATTCCTATGTGAAATTATAGGAATATATTATAACTTACATATTATTTTTTTTTACTATRAAAGATCTGTCTACATGACCATATTATGTACCTTTTTTTACCGTGAAGAAATGTATAGTACTTGGCACTTGCACATATTAATTTCATATTCATGTAAGAATTCRCATATCTGATTTTTAGAAATTAAAATAGGTAATTTTTTATCTGCTACTCTTGTGTATATGAATTTACTATTCTCCAAGGCACTAAGTAAATTTATACAGAATATTTTAAACATTAAAAAAGTGGGCAAGTGATTATCAATTTGTTGTATAGTAGAGATAGAGAATAGGTCACTAAAACGCATATGTGTATAATGTGTTAATTTTGAAATGATTCAGAACGGAGATGATTTGTCAATTTAGGATATATTATATTATACCTATATTTAAATTATAATATATTTTCATACGCTYACAAAATGTTTTATATATTGACTCTGGAGTTTTTTCTTACAGTTATTTGAAGAAAAAGTTATGGAGAACCTTGTGTTGGGTTTTYAACCTTAGGTATAAATAACAATAATTTTATGAGTTTTCAACTTCTTAATTCCAAGCAAATTTTCACGTTTTTGACATATTTCGTAAACATTTGAACTTTAAATGCTTTTAAACAAAAATTGTGACTAACGATTTTTATTTTTATTTTATTACGATAAGTAAAACTTATAATAAACCTTTTATTAAATTTTAATGATTTTTGGATAGCCTAATTTTTTTTGTTATAGGTATTTCAAAAACAAAACTTAGGAAAATCAAAAATTTCAACGTTTATAAATAGCTTAAAAAGTCAACATATTTTGAAAATTTAATCGCAAATAGATTACGCTAATATTTATAAACATTAGGTGAAAATTTCATGTATCTATGGTAATTTGTTTTAAAGTTACAACAAAAACCAAAATTGATTTTGTTCAAAACTGATTATGCGTAAAAATGCTCGTTTTTCGTTATTTTATTCAGGGTATTTCCTGACGCTTTTGAAAACTGCTAGACATTTTTTACATTTGACCCCTAAAGTACCAACTAGATTAATTATCCTTTTCAAAGAGTATCTGCAGTTAAAAATCAAAGGATTATTTCTACTTCTAAACGTGTTGATCGACACACACACACACAACATACATCGTTATAAAATCAATACATTACTCTCTTCGTTCAGAATCTAAAAATACACCTAAATGAAATTAAACTTTACGTTTTTTTTTAAAACAGGTACCTATTTAATTATTCAAATATGTATATATTTTTTTTATATCATAAACTTACATTCGCATACAAACAAATTTCTAATAAAAAAAATTGTAAACTTAATAAGTTTATAGCTTAAAAATACTTATAACAATTGTTGAAATATTATATACAATGAAAAATAAATAATATAATATAATGAACAGACATTTTTGGTCTACAATAATTTCAAATTTAAATAAAACAAAATGTTCGTTAAATATTTAACCAGTTGTGAATTATATAAATTATATTTGATTAGTGGAGTGTAGGAAGGCCTCAGAAATGCATAATATATCTTACAAAATGTTGGTTCTCTATAAATTCTACAAATCTTAACTTTGATTACTTATAATTTATTTATTACTGATTAAAATTCTCAGGAAAATATTCTGCGTAGGAGTATGTTATTAAAAATGTATATTGCTGCAATAACGATAAAAATAAATAGTAAACATTTTTAGTATTCAATTATGTTGTTTTGTAATGACTTGAATTATGTAACATAATATTTTTAAAATCCTTAATACTTTTCAAAATTATAAGTTTACTGTGAATACTTAAAAATCAACCATTATAAAATCAATACAAACATTTAATTATTTATTCTTCTTTGTTAAATAAAATTATCTCTGTTAATTATTATTTTGCATTTATAAAAATAAGGAATAATATAAGTAGTACCTAGGTATTAATATAGATAGCTGGTACTAAGTGCATTACATTTTCTATTTTCTATTAGTCTAAATATATTTACTCTTAATTATAATTGATAAAATAGTAAATATTAATACAATTTAAGTATAGGTAATTTTTTTTTTTTGTATCTTTTAATATTTTTAAATTAATCAGCTGCTTTGAGCATTTGCTTCCACTAGTTATTCAAAAATCCTTAAAAACAAAATACCTATATTTACCATAAAAATTGTCTGATATTGCATCTAATGCCTTTTACATCATATAGCTTTAATCCTATAATATTATATTGCTTACTAATAAAATGTAATAATTTATTACTTTTTCAATAAAATATTACTAATAATTATGTTGATGTAATCATACCTAAAATTATAAACTGCAGTTTTGTAAGCTACACTCTAACCATATGTTTGAAAAATAATAGAAATTATTATATTACTTACCTATGTTGTTTCTATTTTGAAAATTCTACGTTTCTCGTGCATAGTAAAATATAACATAAGGTACATGATTTCGGGGTTAAATTTTCAATCTATATAGTACTAATTAAATTACATTACTATAATCATTGATTAT